GATTACAAATGAGGACCCTACCTCTATTTATACAAGACCACCTCCTCAATGGACGGTGGAGATCGATCTAATCTAACGGATGGGAGTGGAACAATCCCTTGATTGTCTCTACCTACCACCACCTACCCTACCTACCAAAAATAGCTCTACCTACCACTATACAATTGGGCCAACTTGGGCCTAACCCTACTTGGGCTACAACTTGGACTCTTTGTAACCTCCCCAACCCAAGGGAAATCGGCAAGGGGTTGGGTCAAAACTAGCGGGCCGTGACATCCTCCCCCGCCTAATCCGGCGACGTCCTCGTTGCCTCGGATAAGTTGGGACGATCTTGAAATTGCCCTCCTTGACAAGTCGAATTAGCTCCTTGGCGATTGGATCATGTTCGAGCCCTCCTCGGATCACGTCGGCCAAGTTCCCCCTTGTCGAGCTAATCGCTGCGAGTTCGGCCTTTCTACTCAAGGCATCGGCCACAACGTTTGCCTTCCCTGGTTTGTACTCCAAAACGTAGTCGAACTCCGCTAGAAAGTCTTGCCACCGTGCTTGCTTTGGCGAGAGCTTCTTTTGCGTTTGGAAGTAGCTCGTGGCAATGTTGTCGGTCTTGACCACGAACGGTGCGCCTAATAGATAATGTCGCCATACTCGAAGGCAATGGATGATGGCGGTCATCTCCTTCTCTTGGACCGTGTAGCGCCGTTCCGTCTCGTTGAGCTTTCGGCTCTCGAAGGCGATCGGATGCCCCTCTTGCATCAAGACCCCTCCAATTGCAAAGTCGGAAGCGTCCGTGTGCAACTCGAACGACTTCCCAAAGTCCGGTAGGGCGAGGACCGGCTCTTGGCTCACCGCTGCCTTTAAGTCCTCGAACGCCCGTTGGCATGAGTCGGGCCACTCCCACGTCTTGTTCTTCTTGAGTAAGTCGGTTAATGGCGCCGCTCGTGCCGAGTACCCATTTATGAACCGCCGGTAATAATTGATTAAACCAAGAAAAGATCGTAACTCGGTTACCTTAGTCGGCGGTTCCCACTCGGTGATAGCCTTGATCTTCGCTCCATCCATTTGGAGTCGCCCGTGCCCGATTATATGCCCCAAGAATTGGACCTCCTCCTTGGCAAACTCACACTTCTCTTTCTTCACGAACAGCTCGTTTTCCCGAAGTACTTGGAAGACGGTGCGAAGGTGGTTGACATGCTCCTCCATGGTATTGCTATAAACGACGATGTCGTCCAAGTAGACCACCACGAACCGATCTAAGTATGGATGGAAAATCTTGTTCATGAGAGTGCAAAACGTTGCCGGGGCATTGGTTAACCCGAACGGCATGACGAGCCACTCGTAAGAACCGTATCGAGTGATGCACGTTGTCTTTGGCTCGTCCCCTTCGACAATGCGAACTTGGTAGTAGCCCTTTTGCAAGTCCATCTTCGTGTATATCTTGGCTTTACCAAGCCTATCGAACAAATCGGCTATCAAGGGAATAGGGTACTTATTCTTAATGGTTACCTTGTTTAGCGCCCGGTAGTCCACGCACATCCTCAAAGAACCATCGTGCTTCTTTTGGAATAGGACCGGTGCGCCGTAAGGTGCCTTCGATGGTCGGATCTTCCCCGTCTCGACCAACTCGTTAAGTTGCTTTCGGAGTTCCTCAAGCTCCGGCGGTGACATGCGATAGGGAGCCATGGCGGGTGGCTTGGCTCCCGGCTCCAACTCGATGGCATGATCCACCTCCCTCCTAGGTGGAAGCTTGTTGGGCAAATTTGGTGGCATCACGTCTTGGTTGGCCTCCAAGACGGTTTGGATGATCGGTGGCGCGTCCTCCTCTTTGTTCACGAGCGGGTTTTCCTCCTTTAAAGTGGCTAAGAATGTCGGCTCGCCCCGTCGAACTCCCTTGGCAACTTGCATGGCCGACAGTTGCCTTGGTTGTGTGCTTTCTTCCTTAGTGGTGCCGTTGATGGCCGGCACCATGCAAGGTGTCCCCTTCTCTAAAATGCAAACCGAATTGAAACAAGGCATTGGGATAGCCATTACCTTGCGGAAGAAGTCCATGCCTAGCACCACCTTGAAATCATCCATCGGTGCTACCGAAAAATCCACTTGGCCCTTCCAAGTGCCTAAGTGTAGCTCCGCGTCTCGTGCTACACCGTTGACCGGTTGTGCTTTAGCGTTAACGGCCTTGAGCCAACCGTCTCGTCTTGCCCACCGTAGGCCAACCCTCTTGGCCTCGTCTTCGGTGATGAAGTTGTGGGTCGCTCCCGTGTCCACCATCACCTTTGCTGGCGTACCGTTGATGCGGGCCTCCACGTACATCAGCCCCTTGCTTGATGTTGCCGGCATCGGATTTGCCTTTAAGGCGTTCAGAAGTTGGAGCGATCCCATGTGGCCTAGCTCCTCGTTTGTGTCTTGCTCGGCCTCTTGTTGTAAGAGTGCCGACAACGACCCCATCTTGGGACATTGACTCATCGCGTGCGGCCCCTTGCACACGAAGCATCCTCCCTTAGGCACAAACGACTTCTTCTTC